AGCCAATCATTGACGGCCTTTCAAGCAAAATCCACCAATCATAGACAAGAAAATAGAACGTAAGTACTTACGTTCACTTAGCGAATTTTGAAAGTTTTGGCGCAGAGAGGCGCGGGTTCGATTCCAGCTCTGTGCGCCAGTTTCTGGTCAGAATCGGCAAGGAGGCCGGGCGGTTAAGCACAGCAGAATTGTAGCAGTGCGTTGCTAGTTCGAGACCGCAATAATTTGTGAATGTTCTGCGATATTGAGAATCGGCGGCATGCCTACGGCCTAATAAACGCTGAAACCGCTATTATTAATATTATTATTACTCAGTGATAACTCACTAATTCAGTGATGACAATGTAATGATAACAATACTGTCATTCGCGATATCATTATTGTTATAACTCATTGATAACACACTTATAACTCAGTGATAACTCAATAACTCAGTGATGACAATGTAATGATAACAATACTGTCATTCGCGTTATCATTATTGTTATAACTCATTGATAACACACTTATAATTCAGTGATAACTCATTAATTTAATGATGACAATGTAATGATAACAATACTGTCATTCGCGTTATCATTATTATTATAACTCAATGATAACACACTTATAACTCAGTGATAACTCAATAACTCAGTGATGACAATGTAATGATAGCAATACTGTCATTCGCGTTATCATTATTATTATAACTCATTGATAACACACTTATAACTCAGTGATAACTCACTAATTTAATGATGACAATGTAATGATAACAATACTGTCAATGCGTGCAGGATTACGCGAAGATGTACCACGAGCAGCGCGTACAGCAGGCCGCCCGCACGCCAGTACTCGCCAACTATGCCGGACTGAAGCAGTGAGAGGCTGCGATGTCGCGGTGCAAAGAAGGATGGGGGGGAATGATAACGTTTTCTATGAAGATATGAATTTTTGTGGACTATTCTTGCTTTTAAAGGGGGAACTATAACGTTTTCTATGAAGATAGGATTTTTTGTGGACTATTCTTGCTTTTAAAAGGGGAAACGATAACGTTTTCTATGAAGATAGGATTTTTTGTGGACTATTCTTGCTTTTAAAGGGGGAACTATAACGTTTTCTATGAAGATAGGATTTTTTTGTGGACTATTCTTGCTTTTAAAAGGGGAAAGATAACGTTTTCTATGAAGATATGAATTTTTGTGGACTATTCTTGCTTTTAAAGGGGGAACTATAACGTTTTCTATGAAGATAGGATTTTTTGTGGACTATTCTTGCTTTTAAAAGGGGAAACGATAACGTTTTCTATGAAGATAGGATTTTTTGTGGACTATTCTTGCTTTTAAAGGGGGAACTATAACGTTTTCTATGAAGATAGGATTTTTTTGTGGACTATTCTTGCTTTTAAAAGGGGAACGATAACGTTTTCTATGAAGATATGAATTTTTGTGGACTATTCTTGCTTTTAAAGGGGGAACTATAACGTTTTCTATGAAGATAGGATTTTTTTTGGACTATTCTTGCTTTTAAAAGGGGAAACGATAACGTTTTCTATGAAGATAGGATTTTTTGTGGACTATTCTTGCTTTTAAAGGGGGAACTATAACGTTTTCTATGAAGATAGGATTTTTTTGTGGACTATTCTTGCTTTTAAAAGGGGAACGATAACGTTTTCNTTAGTTGGTTGCGGCCCCGGCCATCAGCACCGGCCCGGCAGGTTAGTTGGTTGCGGCCCCGGCCATCAGCACCGGTCCCGGCAGGTTAGTTGGTTGCGGCCCCGGCCATCCGCACCGGCCCGGCAGGTTAGTTGGTTGCGGCCCCGGCCATCAGCACCGGCCCGGCAGGTTAGTTGGTTGCGGCCCCGGCCATCCGCACCGGCCCGGCAGGTTAGTTGGTTGCGGCCCCGGCCATCAGCACCGGCCCGGCAGGTTAGTTGGTTGCGGTCCCGGCCATCCGCACCGGCCCCGCAGGTCAGTTGGTTGCTTCTCTATTATGAAATAATAGAGAAATTAATATGATAAAAATAACTAATAAAAAAATGAAATAATATGATAAAAATAACTATACAAATATTATTAATCAAGTTTTATTAAGTATTATATATAGAGTCAAGTTATATTATTTTTCCTATTCAAAAATATGTTTCTTTAAAATCAAAAAAGGTTATTAAGTAGCATATAGCGAGTTTAGCGATATTATTTTCTTATTCAAAATTACGTTTCTTTAAAATCAAAAGAGGAGCTTTTTCTTTACACATTTGTTGCATTACATCCCACACCCTAATTCTTTAAATGTCATAAAAAATAAATGAGATTTTAGCCGGTGTGCTAAAAATGTTAAGACTTTTTTTTTTGAGCCATTTTCTCCAACTATATTTATAAATTTGTAAACTTTTTCTTTATTCTTGGTGTTTTGACAGCTAATACTTGTTACAATTATTAATATGTCTAATTAAAATGTAATATACATATTTTTAATATATTGTTGTTAATTACATTACTTTATTAAATATCAATAAATATCATCATTATATTAAAATTAGGGATATTATAAAATGTGAATGAATAATAATAATAAATAAATATTTCTCCCCAACAAATATTATCAATATATAGAAATTAATAATATTTTAAAATGTGACTGAATTATATTAATAAATAAATATTCTTCCCCAGGCTGCCCCAAGCTGCTGGTCCCCCCTGGGCTGCACCACCAGCAGGCCCTCCCCCCCACCAAGCCCCAGGACCTTCCCCTCGACTACACCAAAGAGGAGGAGCCTGTCCTCCTCAAGACCGGGGAGGGCGCTGAGCTCCAGGTTGGGGAGTAGAGACATCCCCAGGCTGGGGATTAGGGTCATCCTCCCTAGGGTGGGGATTAGGGTCATCCTTCCAAGGTTGGGGATTAGGGTCAGGTTGGGGATTAGGGTCATCTTTCCCAGGTTGGGGATTAGGGTCTTCCTCTCCAGGTTGGGGATTAGGGTCATCCTCCCCAGGTTGGGGATTAGGGTCATCCCACCCAGGTTGGGGATTAGGGTCATCCTCCCCAGGTTGGGGATTAGGGTCATCTTCCTCAGGCTGGGGATTAGGGTCCTCCTCCCAGGTTTGGGATTAGGGTCATCCTCCCCAGGTTGGGGATAAGGGACATCCCCACCAGGTTGGGGATAAGGGTAATCACCGAGCTTGGGGAATAGGGTAATCCCCCCATGTTGGGGATTAGGGTCATCCTCCCCAGGTTGGGGATTAGGGTCATGTTGTTATTTGGGGAATGAGGTCATCTTCCCAAGGTTGGGGATTAGGGTCCTCCCCAGGTTGGGGATTAGGGTCCTCCCCAGGTTGGGGATTAGGGTCATGTCGTTGTTTGGGGAATGAGGTCATTTTCNGACCGTGAAAGTATATTCAATATTTTTCATCGTTCATTCTGAATATATTCGTTTTGTACATCAATTATTCTGTATATCAATCATTTGTTTGTTTCCCCTTAAAAGGTCCGGAAGTAAACTATTATTTATGTTCAAACAGGGCATCATTCATTTTATTACCATTTATGCGTGTATCATTCATTCTGAATATTCATTCAGTACTCGTACTTCACTTGTATGTTTCCTCCACACAAGGTGCGGAAATACAGCGTCATCGACGACCTACACAGAGGGCGCTTCTCGTGTGTGGGGCGCCGAATCTGTGTATCATACAATCTGTACATTCTTCATTCTGTATTTCCCTCATTTGTATGTTTCTTCCAAACAAGGTGCGGAAATACAGCGTCATCGACGACCTACACATCATACAATCTGTATATTCTTCATTCTGTATTCTGTTGTCGGGGGTTGACATACTGACTTTCCTGGGCAACCGTAACGAGTACTCAGAGCAGCTTGTGGCAGTACTCATCACCCAAGTGAGTCATGGTGCGGTAGTGAACTTTGTGCAATGGTTGTGGCATGTGGTATTATAGTGGCGTCTGACCATACTTCATTCATTTGTTTCAATTATCCGTTGATATCATTGGTATCACATAACTTAATAATGGTTATTTTTATTATCATTTCATTATTACTATTATTATCACATCCCATCACCAATAACAATAACGTACATTGCAGAACTTTAAGACAACATATTCCATAAGTGTACTCATAGATAACTCGAACATTAGTGTAGTTTGGCATAAGTTCTTTAACACGTTGACTACCGATTGCTTCATCTTGTACATTATTTCATATTTGTACTTTTTTTAAGCAGGGTTGCCAGACGGTCATTTTTTCCGGACAAATTTCTGCTAACCTTTCCATTTTTTCCGCTAACTATTCAGTATTTGGAAATCACAAACCACAGACTATTGGGAAATCATTAACCATTGAGTCAAAAGAAATCAATAACCATTGACTATTAGGAAATCACTAGCTATTTAGGAAACCACCAACTATTTTCCACCCCTGCAGGTGCTGGATGGGTTGTCGTACCTGCAATGGCGCGGCATCTGCCACCTGGACCTGCAGCCTGACAACCTGGTGCTGGCGTCCGCTCGCTTCCCGTCGGTCAAACTCGTGGATTTCGGCAGCGCGCACAAAGTTTGTGCGTCTGGCACCAGCGTGCCCGTCAACGGCCTCACGGACTACATCGGTGGGTGTAGGCGATTGTAAATATTTTATGTATATATATATATATGATATTATTGTTATCATCGCAGATAAGAGCAAATTCTGTTTATCTAATGACCCTCAAAAAGCCTTGATGGGTCTCTGTTATCTCAAAGACCCTTAATTTTTTTTGAAAACTACAATAAGCCAAATTAAGACATATGCTTTTCGCATTTTACTATTTTTTCTGTTTCCTTTTCTCTTCAATGAATATTGCTTCATTGACATGACTGTTCATAATCGCTAATGGATATATTTTTCGGCTTATGAATATATTTTATTCTATTGACGTACGACAATTGGCTCCATTGCTATGACAACATGAGACTTCATTCTTGTATAAACGCTCCACTTTGAGAAATTAGTGACACTCGTGTTCATAATGTACGATAACTTGAGACTCCGAATGCATCTAATTTATCTATGTACGACCTTTTGACAATAATTTCATATATTAATGCTCGTGAGCATAATGTACGATAACTTGAGACTCTATAAATACATCTTAATTTAGTGACGTACGACAATTTAAGACTAATTGCATATATTAACGCTCGTGAGCATAATGTACGATAACTTGAGACTCTATAAATACATCTTAATTTTGTGATGTACGAAAAGTTGAGACTAATTGCATATATTAGCGCTCGTGAGCATAATGTACGATAACTTTAGACTGTAAATACGTCTTGATTTAGCGACGTACGACAAGTTGAGACTAATTGCATATATTAACGCTCATGTTTCATTTTATTTCAGCCCCAGAGGTTCTGTTCGAGAACAAAGCTTACCCCAACACCGACATCTGGTCTCTAGGGGTCATCACTTACCTGCTGTTGTCGGGGGTCACCCCCTTCAGGGGGGATACAGAGGAGGATCGTAAATCCAACATCCAGTGCGTGCGGTACATGTTCGAGTGGCTGCCGTCCACTACCACGCAGGAGGCGACGCGGTTCCTCATGCTCATCTTCAAGAGGGACCCAAGGTGAGGCATGGGGTTACTCAAGTATTATTTTTTCATGAAAAGTTGAGATTCATTAAATATAAAGAGGTACCAAAACACAGGAAATTAAGGAATAATATTGGTCATGTGGTTGCCATGCTTAGATCTAATTTTTACATGAGTTAGAAAGTAATTCGGTAATTCACCCGAAATCAGAGAATTAATTGGGCATATTGTTAATGACGCAGTTCTTCGTCACCACACGAGCAGAGAGCAAATCTTGCACTGATTAGCCCATTTGCGGGACCAAACTGGGTCAGGATGACCCACGTAAGGGTAAAAGGAACTTCCCTTATCAAAATTTTGATACGGGCCCGAAGAAATAGGTGCAGCCTAGGAGTAGAGGAGCACATAAATCTCCATGTCCGCTTCGGCTCTGGGTTTGAAGCGATATGCTCTCTGTATGAGCTCTGTATGACTTGTCCAGACAACTCTTCTCATACTCTCTGGACACACTTGTCATGTGTCCTGACTGTGAATCGATTATAAAGTCGGAAAGGAGATTCTAACCAGAAACTTATACCAATTGGGTGACCAAGCAGACCCAGAATAACTTTGCGCCGAGCGTAGCGACAATTCGACCGAACACAAGCCGAATTTCGATAGGGTAGCTATTTGACAAATTCTCATTAATTTCTTTGAGTACATGTCGAAATTTCAAAAATCCTCAAGTAGTTAGTCAAATTTAAGGAATCGATTTGTGATATACAGACCCACACCGTCTCCTAACCCTGTTAAGGAAGAACTGAGTGCCCTATAACGAAGCTTAATTAACCCAATCTACATCCCATGTTGCGGTTGATTGGTGTCTCGTTCCCCAATTTATAAGCCCATATTCCATTTCACCATCTATATCCCATAATGCAGTTGGTGCCTTTGTCCTCCACTTCAAACAACCTGTCCACACCCCCTCCCCCTCTATATAATATTTTGCAGATGCTTTGTGCCTGTGTAACCTAACCTAACCTAACCTAACCTAACCTAACCTAACCTAACCTAACCTAACCTAACCCCCCTTTTACCCTCTTATTTACTCCCCCCAGCAAGCGCCCTGCAGTGGATGAGTGTCTCGAGCATCGCTGGCTGAACGAAACCGATTTCATGGTCAGGAAGAGGGAGCGCGCCCCGGTCCCAGCCAACAGAATTAGGGTGAGTACCCCCCATTGTCGGGGGAAAATGAGGATAAATGATGGGTGGCCCTGTGGTTACAGTTCAGGGCCCATAGTTTCAAAAAAAGTTAAGAGATCGTAAGTTCATCAGCCAATCGTTGACGGCCTTTCTAGCAAAATCCACCAATCATAGACAAGAAAATAGAGCGTAAGTACTTACGTTCACTTAGCGAATTTTGAAAGTATTGGCGCTGCAGAGAGGTGCGGGTTCGATCCCAGCTCTGTGCGCCAGTTTCTGGTCAGAATCAGCAAGGAGGCCGGGCGGTTAAGCACAGCAGAATTGTAGCAGTGAGATGCGAGTTCGAGACTGCTTTTAAAGGGGGAAACGATAACGTTTTCTATAAAGATAGGATTTTTTGTGCACTATTCTTTGCTCTTGAATTTTTAGTAAACTTGTGATTTAAGCAAAAAAGTGACATAAATTCTTTATGATGAGAGGAGAATAGAGCCTGCTGTTTGGAGGGTAGTAACGGGACGATTAAGCTTTACGACCTAATAAACGCTGAAAACGCTATTATATTATTATTATATTATTATTACGTTAGATGAGAGACTTCGTGAGACGTGGTGAGGACCGTGAAAACTTGGTATAAACCATGGCAAACTGACGAGGATCTTGGTTGCGTAGCACAAACTGTAGGAAAAGACGTCGCTTATTGGGGTTTAATTGTGAGAAAACCTTGTGAATCCCTGGAAAATGGCGCGAAGCGTAAAAAATAACGTAAATAGTTGAAAAATTGTGTGAATGGTTGTAGAAGAGCGTGAATAGTTAAGAATTAGAGTGAATTGTTTGAAAATAAGAATAAATCGTGGTAATGTTGTGTCAATCTCAGAAAAGTTGGGTGAATAGTGCGAATGTGGCGAACACTGACTGATTAGAGTGGTAGCTACAAGTAGCTACAAGAGTGTGAACGTTCGGAGTAGCGAGTGGAAAACGAAGAGGAGTGTTTGAAAATAAAATGTAACGTGGAGTAATAAAATGTCGTGAAGCGTGGAAAAAGTTCCGTATCGCGTGGGAAAGTGCCATGGATTGTGGGGGAATGTCATGGGGCATTAGAAAATGCTTTGGGAATAACGGATACGCGTTTTTGAACATAGGAAGAAAGATTATGGGTACTTTACCATGAATGGTTTCGTCTTAATAAATTAGGTTCTGATAAGTTTGAAGGATTTGATGCTGACAGTTTTAGAAACTTTATGAATTATAATTTCAGAGTAAATGATTATAAAAAATTTATATTATACTTTAAGAAAATTCTATAATATTCATATTAATTTTGGGTTTTTGGTCGTTCAATTCTTGGATCAAGATAAACAATTACGTTTAAAAATTTTATGATTTGGCTTAATGGAATGACATTTAATTTAGTTTGTTTGTGCCTCTATGTTGTTCATTACTTTAAAAAGTGAATATTCAAGGTATTTAATCATGTTACACAATAACGATTATAAATGGCTTTAAACGGTATCAAATGTCAAAAGTTTATTATTTACTAATTTCATCGAATAAATTGTATAAAAAGGAATATATTGTTCATACAAATAAAATTATTATTGGTGCAAAAACGTCATTGTCGTTTGAATAAATTTGGGTAACTGTTTCTATTGAATTTTATTTTGAACCCTGGGCAGAGGGGTAGGCTAGGTTGAGTTGGTTTAGGTTAGATTTAGTTAGGTTATATTAGTTTAGACTTCTGAAGCATGTCGCATATATTAGTCTGGGCCATGTAGCATATATTAGTCTGGGCCATGTCGCATATATTAGTCTGGGCCATGTCGCATATATTAGTCTGGGCCATGTCGCATATATTAGTCTGGGCCATGTCG